GAGTTTGTCCAGCTTGCTAAGTTTATATTTTTTTTTTCTTCATGTAATTATTAACAAAATATTATTACAATGAAATTAGAACGAAAAATATTAAATATCAAATTTTTGTCATGATTTTTGGATTTGTTTTTATTATTTATGACATTTAGTATATTTGTTTCACGTAGGATGGAGATTGAGCAAGACGAAACATTCATACCGCAGGTTGATTCGTCGGTGAAGCCTTCGATAGGACAGGAATTTCAATCGGCGGAAAAGGCTCTTTGTTTCTATAATGAGTATGCTAAAGTTGCAGGATTTAGCACTAAAATTAAAAACAGCCGAAAAGATCCAAAAGCTTGCACGGTTGTGGGAAAAATGTTTGCTTGCTCTAAAGAAGGGAAGACAAATTTGTCATACCGAAATAAACAAGGCGCAGTGACAGGAACTAAGGAACGGAAACGTGGAGAGACTCGTTGTAACTGCCCAGCTCGATTGAGTGTTTGGAAAAAAAATGAAACTTGGGTGGTGATGCATTTTGTAGAAAAGCACAATCATTCGCTCGCTACTCCTAGGAAGGTTCACTTGTTGAGATCTCACAGAGGTGTGTCAGCCACAAAAAGAGCACTTGTCCAGGAGTACACGGAGGCAAATATCCCTACATGCAAACAAGTTAGATTGTTTGAAATTGATTCTGGTGGTCCCTCTATGATGGGTTGTTTGGAGAAGGATATTCGAAATAAAGAAGCAGCACGTAAAGCCGAACTAAGTGGACATGATGCACAAACCTTGATTCACCAATTTGAAATGGAAAAGGAAAAGAATGAGAATTTTTATTTTCTTTATGAGACAAATGAGGATGGTGTTTTCACCAGGTGTTTCTGGGCCGATAGTGAATCAAGAAATTCATATGCAGTGTTTGGAAATGCAGTTGTCTTTGATACCACATATAATACGAATAAATATGGATTGATTTTTGCACCATTTGTTGGTGTTAATCATCATAGACAGACCACTGTATTTGGTTGTGCATTACTCAGCGACGAAAAAGCAGAATCATTTGTTTGGTTATTCTCTAATTTTATAAAAGCAATGGCAGACCAGCCACACCCACAAGTTATTATCACCGACCAGGATGCGGCTATATCAATTGCTGTGGCTGAGGTGTTTCCGAACACTATGCACCGATATTGTATTTGGCATATTCTGAACAAGTTTTCAGAAAAGCTCGGTCCCGTTCTTCATAAGTTACACTATCATACCTTAAGTGGTATTATTAATGACTCTGAAACTCCCAGTGAGTTTGAGTGGAGGTGGAATTCGTTGATGAGTGATTCCCAATTGAATGGTAATGAATGGTTGTTAAAAATGTATGAAATCCGTCATCGTTGGGTTCCAGCTTATGTAAGGGGTGTTTTCGCTGCAGGTATGTCCAGTAGCCAACGAGTTGAGAGTAATCACGCATTTTTCAAAAGGTACTTGGACAGAAAATGTTCATTGAATGACTTTTTCACTCGTTTTAGTAGGGCTATTGCGCATCAAAGACATGAAGAACTGATGGCTAGTCATGTTGATCTAAATGAAAAGCCTCGGATCAACACCTCATTCGCTATGGAAAAGCAAATGGCAGAGATTTATACAAAGTCTATATTTCTGTTATTCCAGAAAGAGTTCGAAGAAAGTGCGAGCTATATATGCAAAATGGTCTCAAGTTCAAACGATTCTCGAGTTTATGAAGTTTGGAGGTTTGATATTGAAGTAAATACTAAGCGTCAGCGGTATTTGACATACGATGTCCCTGAAGAATTTATAGCCTGCAGCTGTAAAAAATTTGAGTTTGAAGGGTATCCTTGTCGACACATGCTATGTTGGATGAGGGTTGAACAAGTTATGTTAGTACCTGAGAAGTACGTGAAGAAAAGGTGGACGAAGAATGCAAAGAGTAACCTTATTTATGATACACCATTCGATTTTGAAGTAGGTGAATCTTTGCAAGGCAGACGTGGGGCGCTGATGAAAATAACGAGAGAGCTCATCGATGATGCATCGTTGACTGAGGCGAGAAGCAAATTTCTGATGGAAAAGCTCAAAGTTTTGAAATGGGAGGTTGGTGAGATTGATGACAAGGAATGCATGAGCAAGCGGTTGAGTAAAAGCAAAGACAAAGAGACGATTTTTGTATGCGACCCCGAGCCTATACGAACCAAAGGTTGTGGCAAGCGTCTAAAGTCGAGTAAAGAGAAAGCCTTATCTCAGAGTGCTCGATCTTGTAGTTTGTGTGGGCAGAGGGGCCATGACAAGCGCAAATGTCCAAGTCATAGCATTCACCTTGAAGATGATTCATATCGTCCAGACATGTCAAAAGTGACAAATTCCAGTTGCTCTGATGTTTAAGATGTTTATTTTAGTAGTTAGTCATTTTTTAGATTAATGGTTTATTTTTTTTAATGAGACATTAATTTATTTTTGTTACTTTTTAGTATTTTGATTGTTGCTGTTTTATCTTCCAGTCAGACCAAATATTTTGTAGAGGAGGCATAAGTTTTTTTTTTCTTTTATTTTGTCACTCTCGTATTTATATTTTCTGTTTTGAATTCTTGTGTTTTTAATGCAGAGAGAGGTGAGCACCTAGACTGGGAGACTCGTTTAAATATTATCATGGGCCTAACATGCAAATTCGTTCGTTTTGTTTGTGTTTCTTTTCTTTACTGTCTGAGGCTGTAACATTTACAAAATTTCTGTCATTTACTCCTTTCTCTTGTACTGATATGCTACACTTCAGTTCTCTTGATATGAATATAAGTTGTACCTGTATGAATGTAGTCATTATTAATTGGAGCTAAATTCTGATTACTGGTATTTGAGTTATCATAATTGACCTATCTTCTGCAGTGGACTACCCAAAGCCAAACTGTTGTCAAGTTTGTGTGAAATTTATTGTTAAACAGTACATAAACTATTCTAAGCACCAACATGTTGATGTTCTGTGCTTTTGAAGTTCTCAACATTAGCAAAGTGATGCTTCAGTTTTGTGTAGAATGGCTTAACATGTTTGTTATACCATTTCCAGCAACATTAATCAAATCAAAAAATATCCTATCATTTCAGTTTTGTGTAGAATGGCTTAACATGTTTGTATATTATTTCCTGCAACATTAATCAAAGCAAAACATATCCAAGCAATCTTTATATCCTCACAACAAAATGAAAATAATATCCAAGCAACTTCATATTCTTATTATCACTTCAAATTGTATCCATGTCTCACAAATGTAGAATAGCAATAAGCCTGACAAAGTGCTTCAAGATATGTTACAAAGTAAAGTACTTCTCTTGAAGAACAATATATTTATCACTTGACAATACAAGTAGTATTTGCATAGCATATGTTCTTCCACTGTGGAAATCCACAAGCAACAAAATCTTCCAATTTGAACATGTCTTCCACCTCGTTCGGGCTCAACAAGACATTATTCACGAAGCAAACTCAACCCAAATTCCCTCGACATAATGAAGAGGCCATCATGCTAAACAAAATCCTACCCCTTCCCACCTAACTTAGACAAAAAAAAAAAAAAAAATCTGGAATCCCACAGGCCACAACTGAAGAAAAAAGTCCTGCCTGAGCTCAAATATTCCCGCGAGGTAGACTGACATTCCGGGCACATGTTCATCTCTTCTCTTGAAAATTCACCGTAACAGAAACAAGAAAACCAAATGTAGGCACTAGTTGGCTTTCACCTTTGGTGCCGCAACTGGAAAACAATGCCGGAGACGACCAGCAGCAAGCCACCGGTCAGCCCGCAGACCCCGCTCGCCAAGAT